GCAGCGTTGGGCCCGAAGCTGGGCTGAGCCCTGACCTCTTCCAGGGTGCCCTTCGCTCGCTGCCTTTCGCAGCCAAGGAGATCGGCTTTACCCCAGGGCTTGGCCGAAGCGGCGGACGCGCTGACCCCTCTGTCGCAGGCTGAGCCGGGGGAGACCCCGGAGAGGGGGAGATGCATGGAGGCACAGCCTGACCCCTCTGAAACCGCACCGAGCCCTCCGGGCAGGGCAGGGGGATGCACTGGGCATGGCCCCACACTGCAGACAGGCTCTGGCCAAGCACTGGAGCCTGCCCGGAGCTGTCAGCCAGCCCGGAGGGCAGAGGGGGTTGTGCTGAGCCACATCCTCACCCCCCGGATCCTCCCCAGGGCCCAGGACCCCCACGCCCTTCTGCACCTGAGTGCGTGGCACAAGCGGACAGGAGCCATCCCGGCCCCCGCGAGGCTCCCCCCAGCCACAGCCTCATGGAAGCTGAGCACGGGCACGCTTCACCCCGCTTCCCTCCCGGTGTGGGAGCCTCCCCCGCGGGAGGACGCTGGCCCGAATCTCACAGCCCCTCACCCCGGGTCACTCCCATTAGGTAAAGGAGCAGCTCGTCTTGGCGGGGGTATCTCCCTCTTGCGCTTTCCTTGTATTGTACGGGCCTGGGTCATCGAGGAAATCTTACAGGTCCTTCTGCTGCCGAGTGGTCACGGGGGAAGCCCGGCCCCCTTCCCCCCATTGTCAGCGGCCGGGCCGTATCCTCGCTCCAAGCCCCGGCCCCTAAAAATAGTTCTTTGTCAGGCGATTGTTCCGACACCTTCGCGGCAGCATTGACGTGGGCCGGAGCAGGAGAGCGGTGGGGTAGGTGGAGGGGAAGGGCTGGAGGTCCCCCCTGGGACCGCTCCGAGTATTTGCCGCTGATAACGGCCCCTGTTGTGGGGAAATGGGCTCCTGGCGCGCGGCTGCATGCCGAAGGCCTTCCCGTGCCACTGCCTGCTGCTGTTGCCCAGCGGTCACCTCTCCCCTACCTGTCCCGGCCCTTCGGCCAGCTCTGCATTGGACCCCCACCCTGGGGTCCCCAAAAGGGGGGAGGCCTCTGCCCAGGGCACACAGGAAGGACATGGAGCCCTCCCGAGCCCCTGGCTCAGACCCTGCACCCCCCAACCGGCACCCGGGGCTCCCCACGTGTCCCTGCCCTGCTCACCCCATCGGGGCCAGGGCAGGCAGAGGTCTGCCCCGGTGGGGAGCAGGGTTGCCAGAGGGTGGGAAGGCAGCCCAGATCCCCGCCACGTTTCGGAGGGGTGACCTGCAGCATGGCCCTTCCCTGGCCCCCAGCCAGAACCCCGCTAACGTGGTCCCCTCACCGCCGCTGGTGCCTGTTTGGGTGCAGGGCTCGTGCTGGGGAAGGGGCTGTGCTGTGGCAGGATGGGGCTCAGCCCCCTCCTCCCCACGTAGCCCCAGCACAGCCCCCCCGGCACCTTGGGGACAGCCCCCTCACTTGTCACCCCCTGCTACTCCAACCGTTGTCACCTGGGAGGGACTGTCCCCCCGGGGGCCCTCTCCTGCCTGGCCACCCCAGCTGCAGAAACGGTATTTTATTTCCCATGAGCGTGAGCAGGTCTGGATTAAAATAAACTCCTGGCCCAGATCCCTTTTCTGGTGTCACAGGAGATGCCACGTTTGCCGCGAGCGCTGCCCGCAGACCTGCTGAGCACTGGAGCCTTGACCCTTCAGCTGCGCATCCCTGTGATGGGGACATGCCTGTCCCCCGCCCGTCCCTTGGGGACATCTCCCTCTCCCAGCCATTCCTGGCTGCATTGGCTCTCAGGGACACTGGCCCTGCTCAGCCGCCATCCCCAGGCTGGGCTGAGCCCCCTGGGGCCGCTGGCCGTGGGGCAGGGCACAGGGCCAGTCCCGCTCTGATTACCCCCAGCGCTTTTTCCTTTTTCTTCCTTAATTTACTGAGTGCTAAATCCAAATATTACAACTTCCCCTCCGCACCGCTGGTTACGCAGGCGGCCCCCGGCCGGGCATTGTCTTATTGTTTGCAGAGGGAAGCTCCAGCGGGAGATTAACCTGGCGTTCACCCCGTGCCGCGGCTTCACACCCTGTCCCTGCCGGCAGGGCTCACAGCGCTTTTTCCTTTTTCTTCCTTAATTTACTGAGTGCTAAATCCAAATATTACAACTTCCCCTCCGCACCGCTGGTTACGCAGGCGGCCCCCGGCCGGGCATTGTCTTATTGTTTGCAGAGGGAAGCTCCAGCGGGAGATTAACCTGGCGTTCACCCCGTGCCGCGGCTTCACACCCTGTCCCTGCCGGCAGGGCTCACGTCCCTGGGGACCGTG